TGCCATTTATTCAATGAGTATGAACTAAAAATTTTTTAAAATTTGCAAATATATTTCTTATATCTTCAAATATATTTTCACAAAAATACTTTCATGCTTGATATTTTGAAATAATGTTTTTAATCTACTTAATGGGGGGGATACCCCCAAGGTGCCCCCAGTTCGCCAACTTTGACACCAAAGAACGCAAATTATTACTATGTTAACATGCTTTATGACCTTATAAAAAATCTTCATACAAATTTTCATGACTTTTGGATAAATCCTCCCCGAAATATCTACAAAAAACGTGAAAAAACACGTCCCACCATTACTTTCCGCCGGAACTGTAACATACTTCAGAATAAGCGGTATTTATTTAATTATAACATCAAAGCATATTTTTCCATTAGTTTCCTCACCATTATTTAATGAATTTTCCGGAAATTGTAAAAGCACTAAGTGTGTATTATAATTGGAAATTCATCGAGAATAGTTTAAATGTATTTTTTTGCAGCGTTTTGGATGTATTTACATGTATATATTAGCGTTAGGGATTGGAACATCAAGAATAGTGCAAATCTTTGAAAGTTGCCCGTCGTAAAGTGGATATTGGCTCAAGTATAGAGAATCAATCATCTTACAATTAAGTATATTCTACGTACAAAGTTTAATCTCATTTTCACGTTCACTCAACAACGCATATCCATCATTCTCAAAAGATGAGTTTGAGCTTTTCCATAGGAACATGAGATTGGCCAGTTTTGCGATGCGTTACTAATAAAATTTGGTGAGCAACTCCGTCGAAATTCCCAACTTCGGCCAATATCAACACGAATTCGGTGAGTTTGTCGTTGATTCTGTAGTTATAGTCAAGGCGCGATTTAACATGCATTTTTTTGGAAATCTGTATCTCTAATTTAAAAACATCGTAACAATAAAGTGAGGAAATTTTGGTATAACGATTGGCTAAATAAAAATCACGTGAAATCGGTTTTTTAATACATGCAACTACAACTACTATTTAAAGTACAAGATATCTAAACTAATTACATTGTAATTAGCTTTGTAAAAAATATCAAGACTCATTTGAGCCTTATTATCAATATACTAACAAAAAAACTTTAACTCTTATCGAATTAATGATTAAATGTGTTCTTTGACGTTTTGGAATTTCCAAAAAATTTAAACTTCGTTAAATTGAATTTATCGTAAAATCGCTTTTCTTATTATTGGGAAAAAAATAAAAATCGGTAAATACTAAATTGCGAGAGTATTAATTAATATCGGTATACTGCATCATTTTAAAGCTTTATGAATTGGGAAACTCAAATTTAATCGATAATGACCAATATCGTAAAATCACATAATCGTTAAATAATGCCCTGATTGTAGTTGATTCTGTAGTTGTCTCCGTGCCTGGAATGTTCTAGAAATATATTTTTTGTTCATTTTTAATTACCATGTTTGGATACATGACATTGTTGTTTCTGTGTGGAGAATTCTTCAGTTGGCCACCAGTTTCGCAAAATTTGAGAATGTAACGAAATACGATTGTGTGATCAAGTAACATCGTACTATGTAGCAAAGTAAGGTTTCAGGAGTTAACCTTAATACACCAACAGTGTCACAGGTTCATTTAATCGTCAGTGACTATTTTATCTTTTGAAAAAGTAATCCTTACGAATATATTTTATTATACAATAGTGTAAAACGTTGACTAATACAATTATCCATTGTGATAAATAATTGTATATTACAACAGTTGCTTCTTCTTAGTGGAAAATACGCTTAAAATAAAAATGTTTATTCAATAATAATGTTTTAATATTTAAAATACTCGAAATTGATGATTTTCTCTTTCATTCATCGAACATTTTTTGAGTGTGCTGCAAGTACGTAACGTGATTTCGAGAATTTATTGCGTTTACGGTCAGCGAAAAATATCCCAATTATTTCAAAATTTGCGAATACACATTATATATTGGAACTTTACAAATACACATTATATGCTAGATTATAATTGCAATTAAGATTTAGTTTATTTCTTAACACATAAGAGGTTGTTTTTTCACACTCAGGGATTTTATTTATTTAGAGCCTAAAAATTATATTTTTATTGAATACAATGAGTATTTTTTTACTTGTATTGCAAAAGAAGATTTTTAGCATACGTATTCGAATTGATATGTGAAATATTCCATGTAGGCAATTGATGTATTTATTTAGCAAAAGCAAAAGCAAAAAACAAAAAATTATTATTATTTACATGATTCTATTTTGATTTTACTATATTTTAAATAAACTATCGTTCGTCAGTTATTATTCGAAGTGCATTTGAAGAATAACTTGGACAACCCAAAACTAAGGTCGAGTTCTTGCTGTTTTTCATCTATCGTGTCCTTTTCAGGATCTTGAGCTATTGTTGTCGACAACTGCGTATTTTGTGTTTCTATGGATCCTTTGAAAGAGAACAAAGGCTGACTTGTGTTTTTCTTGGAGGGCTCTTTTGTTGCTTGTTTTAATAATTCCTTTAAATAATAAATAATATTCATGTGAATTTAATAAATTTAATAAAGTAAAAAATAATATAAAATATTATTTGCAAACCTCTTCGCGTTCCCATAATTCACAGAGTTCAACACATATCGGATTATTCCAAACTTTTAGCCACTTGATTTTTAGTTCGTTCTCACGTCTTAATGCTAATTCATATGCTAAGTAATTCAATGAATTAAGACTTATTACAATATATTCTTTATGATACTAAAAGTGAGCTCGTAAATTACAATATTTTAAGAAATTGGGTAAACTTTCAAATTGCACTGTTTAATTTACCTCGCTTAAACGAAATACTTTCACCTCCATTATCGCGAATTTTATTCATTTCGACATGACGCCATATGCTCTGTACCAATTCTGGTTTGATTTTAGACGGAGTTTCATGTTCAGCTCGATATCTTTGAAATGCCGCCAATGACAAATACCTTAATTAATTATTAATAAATAATTAATTAATATGTTTTTAAAACCAAGAGAATATTGCCTTAAGAATACCATTCAAAATCCACTTCTCCGAATTTATTCTTTGGTATTTCATCCCAAGGAACACAAAGAATCTTTTCTAAATACTTTATCAACTTTCGCAAAGTGGAATCTTGTATATCTTTATTCTCTTGTCCCATCTGCTGTTCTTTCTCCCATGCACACGCCAATAAAGTAATGTCGGGATCGTTCTTCACTTCACTCCAGCATTTTTTAAAGAAACTTTCTCTTTCGAGAGTAATTCTATATGCTATTTTTATATGAAAATCAAATAAATTTAATTCGATAATTTATAACCAATCATAAAAATAAAAATTACCTTGTTCATAACTCCATCGCCCGAAGTTCGTTTCTATTAAACGAAAAACTTGCGAAGATCGCCAAAGGGATCTACAGAATTCCAATCGAACTTTCTTTGGTGATTCATAATCTATATTAAATTGACTTTGGGGCGACAACATATTATACCTAAAGTAGATAATTTAACCTTTAATTTATTTCATACAATTATTAAATAGAAATAAAATAAAATAAAATATTCACCAATTCAAATCGATTTCGCCATATTTTGTCTTTCTAACATTTTCCCACTCGACTTTTTTCCAATTTTTGTTGAGTTTTTTGATCATCTTTTGTCGCTTTTTAGTTTCACCTCCTCGAGGATCTCCTTCATTTTCAGAAATTTCACACTGTCTAATTATCTCGCCAATCCAATATTCTCGAGAATTTGTCCAGACTTCATGCTGTTTCTTCCATATTTGCTCTTCTTGCACCTCTCTCCTGAATCGAATTTTCTCTCCTACCCTTCCTAGATTACGATTCTCCGCCTTCTCTTGTAAGCTCGCTTTTATTTTACTCCATCTGTCTGATTTTGTCTTTGCTGGAATTCTATCCAACATGACCTGATTATTTTCCTTGTTTATAACATCTTTGGATAATTCCAAGTAATTTTCATAACTTTCTTTGTACTGATTCACGTAATACTCTGCCGTACTTTCAATATTCAGAATGTATGGCTCGTTCGAAACTGGCTTATTTGTTGTTGGAAAACTTGTTGATGAAAAACTTGTTGATGAAAAACTTGTTGATGAAATCGATGTAAAGGGAGATTTCATGAAATGACTATAATTGTTTAATAATGAACCATTATCAAAATTGATATCGACGAGACTCGTCGCCATTTTTTTGTTTTTCTTTATTCGGAGCAATTTTTTATAAATTGTTTTTCTTGTCGATTTTCAAAGAAAATAATAGATAAAAGGGGAAAAATGCCTTCTCCGAATCATGAATACTTTCGCTTTTATAGATTACACACGTATAACGATACCCCTAACATTTTTAGATTAGTAAAATAAAAAAACAATAAAGAGAAGAGAACAATGCATACAGCGACATAGATCTACAGACAAATAATAATGCATGCACCGTTATACAACCAAGCTCGTATTCTTTGTTTGATGAAAATATACATCATATTACTATGGCTAAATTTTATATACATGTATATACAGTTCGTACATTGTTAGAAATAGATTCATGACGACTTCATCATGCATCCGAATGGAATGTTGTGGTTTTGGAGGATTACATAAATGGGAATATGTGAATATCTCGCTATACTTAACCCGTATGCAGGTTCTTGATGTGGTGTAACAACAGTCATTAAGATGAAACAGTGGGATCGAACAGTAATATCAATACAAAAAAACTGGTAACCGTTTCTCAGATTCTAATTTTTAATTGATAAAAATAAAATTGGGGAGTAGAATCTTTAGAATATAAATTCTATTTAAAGAATCCATAAAAAAATAGATTTCGTTGATCTTATAAATAATGTATTGGCTGAATTTATTGGAATTATGGCTTAAAGCTGACCAATGTTATATAAGTAATGCAAACGTGGCTTATCTACACTTCCTCATAATAATGTTATTCTCAAATGTTCTTTATATTACATTACATACATACATACATACATATACATATAACAAAGAGAATAGAATTGAGTCTAAAAGAAAAACTAAACGCTCTATTTAATTATGCACAGTGCACAGTAAAATTTGATAAAACAGAATAGTCCATCCATTAGAGCCAAAATTCCTAAACTCCGCTTTAATGGAGTTTAATTAAGAAATCCGGTTTATCGAGTGAAATTTATTATATATATAGACCGATTTACACCTCAATCCGATTTATCGAAAATTCGCTGTGTACAGTGCACGACGCCTTAGGATGATCATAATTAGGGTAACATATGACGATCATTAATTGAGGATTTTTTCCAGAATATGCGGAATATCTCAAGGCTTCGGAAAATTTATTTTTAAATGCATTACATATACAGCAAGTTTGTGGTCATTTCGGGTCAATTTTTTTTAATCGATAGCTTTGAAAGTTTTCTATCAGATAATAATCTCCTTTTTATATTATATTGAAAAACTATATGAAAAAATAATGTTCAATGGTATAAATTGCTAGCAAAATTTATTGTTATTTTTTTTTGTAAAAAAAAGATATAAATAAAGAAAAGCCTACAATTTTGTAGAATTAATAATAAGTACAGTGCCCGACACCTAGTCCCATAGTTTTATATTGTTACTTAAAAGCCTATAACTTTTGTAGCATTAAATTTCCAACCTAGTATAGTCTACAATTTAATGTTTAGTTTTTGGCTAGAAATTTAATTCTACAAAAGTTATAGGCTTTTAAGTAACAATATAAAACTGTGGGACTAGGTGTCGTGCACTGTGAAAGTCTAAATATATTAGATTCTAGACATGTAGAAACTCATTTCGACATGATTATTGAATTTGTCAATATCGATATGTAGAAAATAAAAATGTTGAATCAAAAACGAATTGTGCTACGTAATGTTTTGTCTCAAAATATTCTAGCTAAAAAAAGTGAATTTTTTTGTAATTATTATATTTGACTATATATAGATATTTTGATATTTAGACACGCCCTTTCTACATTTGACAGGCGAATGGCGAATAGAAAGTGAGGAGGTTGATCGTCACGCCATTTTCGACAATCAAAAGATTATCGTAGTTTGCGAGGTGTGGTCATGCAAATTATAATTAGTATGAGAAATCTGAATTAGAGCATAAACCATACAATATTGCGCCAAAACGCCAAAATTTATTGTAGATCTTATACATAATAGTTAATTTGACCAATCAGAATTCTTATCAATCTGTAAGAATTTTTTATATAACGATTATCAAAATTTATGGTTTATGCTGTACTAATGCTAAATTTGCATGAACAGTACACCCAAAAAATAAAATTATAAAAAAATGTAAAATTTCAAGCTATATATACAATATATCTAAATTTTTATAATAAATTTTATATCATTTTAAAGCTAATTGATTGTATTTCTAAATAATACAAGACTTGTAGCAACCTAAAATGCAAGGACTGTTTTGATTATAACAAAAAATTTTTTATATGTATTTACTATATAATTTTAAATCAGGTGTTACTTTTGGGGGTACTGAACAAGCTTTGGTTAACATGAAAATTAAAACGAACGTAGTATTATGAAGAATTTTATGCTTGTTGAGGTGATTGAGCATTATTTATCTTGAGTATTCTATTTTTATGCTAAACTTAAATAAATAAAAATCTGCAATGTTGAATCGCATGATCTAGACAAAGAACTACTGAATTTGGATAAGATTGGATTGTACAACAGCGACGCCATGACGGCGACGTAGCGCCAAGGAAGAAATTTGTATCAAGAGAATGAATAGGCAGAATTAGAATAGAAGGTGGAAGAAAAAGGAGAACTGTGAGAAATTGAAGTTAGCATATTTTAGATAGGTATTTTATTTGATGGGACATACGTATATTTAGAGTAAATTTGTTTCATACTGAAATACTATTTTTGAAATATATACTCGTATTGAATTACAGTATATTATTCAAATTAGACGATAATACTATCACTGGATTTACTATGAAAACCAATCTTTGTTTTATCGGTTAATAATGTATATCAACTTCCAAATATGGACAAACATCGACCGTATACATGTATATAGTAATTAATCATTAATTTTAGCCAATGAAACAAAGATTGGTTTTCATTACGTAAATCCGCCGATATGACACGTGCCGGTTTTTGTAGAATTTAGAACTAGGGCTAATCTATATATAAAATTGCCTCTGACGTTTTTAATTAGTACTCTAAGCTAGGTTTAAGCACCTGTTTCTCGTATCTTTTCTTGTGATCAAAAGATTGCGCATTCTTATTGGCTGCTAGCCCATGATCGATAAAACCTGGCACAGATTTCTGATGTGCAATTCCGCCCAAACACTGCTAACAAATTTAAAAATAATGAGCATCAGCCAATAGCAATAACAATTACGCAGCTATTTGCTACTAAATACTTCTTTTGCAAAGACTTTCTCACTGTTTTCACGAATTTGGCCTTTTTCTTTTTTTAATAGCAGCAGGAATTTTTTTGATCAAAACAACGTTATGTTTCAGAAAGCCGTAATCGCGCCTCTTGCAGTGAAGTTTTCATATTTGTAGGGTTGTTAATGGAGCGGAGTGAATTGAATTGGGTTCACATTATAAAGGAGCAAGGGGTCAATCAAATTCAACCCACTCCGGGTTCATTGTCTCAGGGTTTGCTCCAGATACTCTGGAGTATTTATAAAAGTCACATGTAATTAATTTAATTGGATAAAAGTTATACATAAAATACTTTTATTTAGGAGCAGCATACTCCTGGGTTAGTTTCACGTGAAGTTATTGAAGCTGAACCATCACTTTCATTTTTGCTTGTTTATGTTCTGTTAACGTTTCTTCTATAGTACCCTCGGACTCATTCTCAGTAGGTTCATGGTCTAATAAAACTCTTTCATTTAAAGTAGATATTTTACGCTTATGAGACATTTTAATAAATAAAAAAAACTGCATGACTTTAAATCAATTAAAATACACATTGATAGATAGATTTGTTAATAAATTGCAAAAGCCCTATTACACATAATTAACTAACTAAATTCTTTGCATAATACTTACTAACGAATAAGACGTTTAGGACAATATCCAAATACTATATTTTTGAATCTGTTTTCGCTACCTGGGAGAAACAGTGATTTCGCGTCATTCTAGCTCTGGGTCACTCTACGTGGAGCAAGAGTGTCACATGAAGTGGCTTGGGTTTATTTAATTATGGCTTCGGAGCGGAGTAAAATTTAGAAATTACATAGTATGCTGCTCCATTAACAACTATACATATTTGTTAAACATCCCTTCAAGCTGCTGTTGGTGAACAATTATAGATTATATTCGATATTCACACATATATTAGTGTATCTATGGCTTGAGATACTGAAAAATAGAAATCCTCCCGAAAGTCATCATGTGAATTGGATAAGAATTATTGGATTCTACACCACAAAAATATATAAAAAATCAATTGCGAGGAAATGTCTAGAAATAAGAACCACCCATTTTTTAGTGGTACTTATTCACAGCAGAATATGGTAATGTTTTTTTTATTTCAGCATGTAAGGATCTATTAAAAAAAATTGTTTTGCTTATATGAGTAACAAACTTTACAAATTATACGTATGTTATTTTTTAAGTGCTTATAACGAAGTGGAACATAAGAAAATTAAATCTAAAATCCGTTATACCAAAATTACTACAGTGTACGACACCTAGTCCCACAGTTTTACATTGTTACTTAAAAACTTGTAACTTTCGTAGAATTAAATTTCTAACCAATAGCTAAACATTGAAGTGTAGACCATAGTATAATCTACAATTTAATGTTTAATTTTTGGCTAGAAATTTAATTCTACAAAAGTTATAGGCTTTTAAATAACAATATAAAACTGTGGGACTAGGTGTCGTGCACTGTAGTAATTTTGGTATAACGGATTTTATGTATTTTAAAAATCTGTTATAATGTGAATTTGATTATAATTACTTTATTTCTAAAGATTTTATCTGAGATCATTTGTTGTATAGATATATAATATTATTAATAAAGTCTTTTGTTTTTTTGTCTATATTTTTCCACAATGAATTTTTACGATAGTTAAAGGCTCTAACGAATTTTTATATAGCAAATATTTTGGTATAGTGAAGAAATTTCACGATACAAATATATATTACACATATAAATCAGCCTTCTAATATTATAATAAATTTAAA